GTAATAGTCAATTAAAAAAAAAGTCACAGAGCAATAAAATCAACTGAATTGAGCCTCATGCCTGGGCCCTAAGGCATAAGGCTCAACTCAACAAATCAGGATGACAAAGTGGAGAAAACAAAGCTATCATATCCATCAGAACAAGAAAGGTACAATAATTCAACTTGTGGGTGGCGCTTTGTTGTGCAGGGAAACTTTAGGGAAGGTGAATCTCATTCAAAGCAACGTCAGAAAGGCAGAAGTACAGCTCACCTGGGGTCCAGCTGAAAGGAACCCAGCTGCCATCTCTTGGTCTCTGGTGTTCACTGGAGGGAGGCCAGAACCAGCCTGAAGAACTGGCAGAGCTAAGCAAAGGGGAAAAAAAGCATGAGAAAGATTAGTGCTGTCTTGTAGTTAGCTTGTTCAAAGGTGTCCACTGCCTGACACACAGAACCCAGGAACCTTAAGGAGACTCCACACAGACCTACCCTCTTCTCAACTGGGCAGATGGTCTCGACCCAATGTACCCTGGCCCTTGAAGGCTATTCATGCTCTCTGGTCACACTCTGGGAATAACCCTCTTTGAGATTCAGTAACACAATGAAGTCATACATTACTTTTAGGGATATGGTTTGTCTACCCACTTAAAAAATCCCCCTATATGTCACCTGCATATTTCCAGGAGGTTTCTAGAAGGGATGTGAGGGAAAGAAGAGAAGAAATGGTAAGAGAGCACAATCCCAGATATCCCCTGCAAAAATCAGAAAGTCAAGGTATAGAAAACAATTTCACTTCATCTGTTTCCTACTGAAGTCAAGGAAGTAATCAGGAAAACTCCTAATTACAGCTCACAGATAACTTATTTATCAATTGCTGGGCTTGTAAAGGAGGGTCACAAAGCGCAGTTTTCTGCATCCTTACTTCTTTACTGTTCGCATCTTACCCTGCTCCTGGAAGGCTTGTGTCCCAGCTCCAGGGTCTTGACTGAGTTGCTCCTCAGTGCCTTGGTCTAGGCCTTGAACTCCTTCCCCATGGGGCATCCCCCACTCAGGCTTGACCTCCACTGGCCCCAGGTGAACACCTGGTTCCCAAGGGCCTCTGCAAAGTGCTGTCTCCTCCCGTTCTCCCTGCACGAGGCATGGAACCTAAGAACAGTCCCCAACACCTATTAGAATGAGGCCTGGGTGAGGGAGTTGAATTAAAACCTAAAAAGAGAACAAAGAAAAGGACCATTCCAACTGCAAGAGGAGGACAAAGCCGGCTCAGCTCTTCCCCAGGATATCAGTGAGAAGGTGAAAAAGAGGTAAACCTCTCTTTATCAGGCTCCGAGCAACTGTTATGTGTCCCTGCCCTTTTACAAGGGTCCCTCCTGCCTGCCTCAATACTGACCAAATTCCACCAGGAATAATATCACAGAGAGACTAAATATTGTTTGGTTGACAACTTTAGCCCAAAGTGCTCCCTACTAGGAAAAAAATCCCCCAATTATAAATGCTGAAAGTAAAAAATACAAAGCCTTGATTCAGCAGTGAATTAGCTAGTGAGAAAAACTTGCTCTAAAAACAGCGAGGAAAATCAGGACAACTCACACTGTGATACACTCACAAAAACAGGCCCTTCTTGGTCTACTTTTAAGCTCCTGAATTGGGAATAAAAAAATAATTCTTAGGATTACAGAGGAAGTCACGAATAACTGCAGTAGGAAAAGGAAGAATAAACTGAAGAAAGATGATAACTTGCAAGCAAAACAGTAATGTTCAGTCCTACTCTCTTCTTTCCCAGCCAACAATAAGGTGACTATACCACAGAATGACAAACACGTGGCCAGAGTCCCAAGGAAGCATCTGAGATGCAGTTACTTGGTGTCACCAGAACACCACCACAGAACCACTAACGTGAGCCACTTGAGCCAACGTCCCAGATATCGAAACAGCACTGTTTAGACAATGCTTCTTAATAATAATATTCACCCAATTGGAATTCCCCACTTTCCACATGCATCTCTGCCCAAAGAGAAGGAGTCTATGAGAGATCTTCAAATTGGTCACGACTACCTTCTTTGGGCCTGGGGCTCACAAAGGAAATATGGCCAGGCCTTTGTCCTGATGACCAGAAAGGAAGCTAACGGCTCTTCTACAGGCCCTGCATCTTCCTTGGGAATGGCTTCTCATGCTGAAAATTCCACTGCCTTCCAAAAAGTACCTCAGGGAGTCTGGGAGCAGATGAAGGAGACTGTACACCTCACCTAGTCCCACTCCTTCTTCAAACCTTTCAATTCTTTAAATGTCCCCTTCCCATACCGACAAAACAAGACCCAGATACCCCCTTCTCACCCACCGCCTTGGCCTCCAACGTTCTCTCTGTGAAGTCCTCCACCATGGCCACAAGAGCCTTGCCACTCTCCAAGCCATGCTCCCGAATCCAGGCATAGAACTCCCGTGGCAGGATGGTCAGGAACTGCTCCAGCACCAGCAGCTCCATGATCTGCTCCTTGGTATGCAGCTCAGGCCTCAGCCACTGGCGACAGAGTTCCTGGAGTTCCCTGAGGGCTTCCTGAGGACCAGCTGCCTCCTGGTAGCGGAACTGCCGAAACCTCAGACGAAAAGTCTCAGGACTAGGGTCCTCCCTTCCCCTGGCCCATGGCAACTCTTTCTCCAGCTTTACTACAGGAACACCCATCTGTTGCTGGGGGTCTTCTGCCATCCCTGGACGCTCCTTTAGCATCTTCACACTCCTCCCAGAAGACTGAGGGTCTATTGGGAAGACCAGACAAACAATAATGGCAGCATAAGTGAGACAAGGAAAGGTCAGTCCATCACAGTTCTTTGTCTACATCAATGGATATTCTGCTGGAGAGCATAATTAGTTTCTGTGAAGCAGAACAAAAGACCAAACATATATCCTGAAAATCATGCCAATTCAATTCAGTAAGTATTTGCTAACCACCTAGTATGTGAAGAAAAATGTAAAGAGTTTACTTTATACCCACAAACATTGTAGGATCTCATTAGGGAGATAACACTAAAATCAGAAAATATAAAATAGGTTATAATTAGATGAGTCACCAGGGCCTACTCTTCCAACACTGTAAGAATTAACATGTTCAACAAATATATGTGCCAGGCGTGCAGAAACTAGAAATATAATACAGAACAAGACAAACAAGGCACCTGCCCTTTGAAACTCATATACTAGTGCAACAGACAGAAAAAAACAAATACAAGCAAATAAGTTAAAATTAAATGGGGATAACTTCTAGAAAGGAAATGTGTAGGGTGGTCTGTTAATGGGGGATGAATAACTTAAAGAAGGCTCTTCTGAAGATATGACACTTAGGCTGAGACCCACCGATGAGTACGAGCCAGTCATTCAGAGATTTTTCCAGGCACCAGACTTGAGGTCAGAAATTACTCCACATGTCTGAGAATAAGGCAATGGGAGTGAAGCTTTGGCAAAGTTAAGTGAGGGACAAAGCCGCACGAGAAGAAGTGACAGAGGCAGGCAGAACCAGATTATCCAGGAAATGGGCCACACTAAGAATTATGGCTTAATCTTCTTATTTTAGCAGGGAGCTATATGTTTTTACATTGCCTGGCGTAAAAGGTCATTTTGCCTGGCGTATGTCAACAGAGAATAGGTTAGAGAGAAAAAGAAGGGAAGCAGCACTTAACAGCGGTCCAAGCAGGAGATGATCAAGATGGTGGCAAAGATGCAGAAAGAGTCGAGACATATTTTGGAGGTAAAACCAAAAGACTTACTGGTGGCTTGGATGTGACCATGTGTCACATGTTGAAAACAACAGAGTGACACATATATCGTTATAATTAACGAAAAGACTTTTAACTTGTGTAGGCTTTACCATTTAGAAAGCCTGTGAACACACACATACAATTATGTATAGGGAGTATTACTCCCCTTACTTTTCAAAGACGACACTGAAGATATAAGAGGTTAGACGGCTGGCCTAAGTCTGCCTCCCAAAAGATACGGTACAGATGAGAAACACAGGAAGTCAAAATGAGAGAAACGTTAACGTAGGTTCAACTACTCATGAAAAAGGTTTGGGCGCCTGGGTGGCTCAGTCGGTGGAGCGTCTGACTTCAGCTCATGTCATGATCCCATGGTTCATGAACTGGAGCCCCTTTTCGGGCGCTGCTGTCAGCACAGAGCCTGCTTGGGATCCTCTGTCCCCTTCTTTCTCTGCCCCTCCCCCACTTAAGCTCTCTCTCAAAAATGAATAAAAATTTAAAAAAAGAAGAAGAAGAGGCTTATACCAGACTAGAGAATGAGTACTATTTAATTTCATGATGGGTTTGGGGTGGGGGTGAGGGGTATGTAGGCTGGGAGTCCAAAGTGGGGAAGGGGCTCCATTTTTAGAGGGAAAGACCACTCTTAATGCAACAGAGAATAAGCAACTGGCAGGAGGTTCGTCCGAAGCTTCTACTTAATGTTCTATTGTGTGTTTGTGTACTTCTACATCCTTCCTAAACCTACTTTACGTTTTCAGTCGATTCATTTTTCATTTTGCTACATCTATTGAGATTTCTCTTTCACGACTTTCTAGCTACTGCATTTCTTCACACCCCTATCGCATTACCACACTACAGCACAAATGTTAACCGACGTGTCCCCGACGACCAGATTCTCTAAAGGCAAGAAAGGTCTTCATTCATCTTTCATCCCTGGTACTTCACGAAGAGAAAGAAGGCTTGAAAAGAAGTCATTCTTTAAGTGAGTCTCCCACGTCTCGCTCTAAAATGACTACTTTCGATTTTCAGAGAGATCCGCGTCGGTTCAAGGTCTCGAGTTCGTGGACGCCCCCGCGCTGAGGTAACCTAGGCCCGGCGGGACCAACGTCGCTCCCACCTGAACCCCCAGGTCGCGCCCGCCGGGCCCCGGTGCCGCGGGAGGCAGCTCCGGGGAAACGCGCCGCCCGCTGTGTCAGCCCCGCCGCCTCCGCCAACGCCTCCGCGACCCGCAGCCGCACCGAAAGCCGGCCCCCACACCCGCCGCATCCGCCGCCGGCCCGCCGCCCCGCGAAGCCCTGCGACGCCCCAGAACGGCTCTCACCCTCAGCCCCTCAGCCACGACGACCCGACCCGAGCCGAGCCCTCAGAGACCGGATGTGGGCCGCGGACGCTGTCAGACAGGTGCGTGAGGAAAGAGCCCCTTCCGCTTCCTCTCTAGGGCTCTCGGAGGTCCGTGCGTCTCGGTGGTTGCTGGTCCCCTGGGGCTGTGCCTGAACGCGCGCCCGGACTGACTCGTCCCTAGGAGGCTCGCAGCCGTCAGGCCTTGAGGATCCTCCGTGCCATTGCACCTTCTTTTTCTCGGTGAGGAGGACCCTCCAGACATACTACCGGACACGAAGCCTCCCTCAAGGGGCTTTGTAGTCCCGTCGGTCACCACGCGCATATTCGCGTACTTTGTCGCAAGGGCAGAGGGAGACGGAGGAAAGCAGTGAATATTATAGGTTCGCAGAAGAGGGGCCTCGACCCGAGTAGTTGGGAGGAGGGAGTTGGCCAGAGGAGCCGGCACCTCAGCTCAGTTTTGAAGGGTGGACCAAAAAGTGAGGTGAGTGTCCCCAGCAGAGGGAGCACGACGAGCCCAGCGAGTGTGGAGGGATTGCCGGCATTCCCACACCATCTTAGCCACTAGGGCAGGTGGTTAAACCAGGTGTTTCCGAGAACAATTTAAAGGCAACGGGAAGCCGTGTAAAGGTTTAAAGGCGGGAAGGGACAGATTTTAGAAAGATGCTGCTGAGAACCCTTGGAGAAACACTGAGCAAGAAAGGAGGGAAGTGGAAAGTGAGAGGACTGACTGTTGGGTAAAACGAGGCTGAGTAAGGCAGTCCAGGAAAAAGAGGATGATGCAGACCTGGGGCAGTTGGTGACTAGAGCTTGCAAGGAGTGATTAGGTAGGAACCTTATTGGGGAAGTAAAGTTGCCAAGGTTTGAGGATTGATTGGATATGGAGGACGAGAGAGAAGATGGAATAATTTAGTAAATTATAAAGGCCATATATATGGATAAGAATGGACATTTAGGGACACCTGGGTGGCTCAGTTGTTTGAGCGCCAGCTCTTGATTTTGACTCACGTCATGATCTCACGGTTTGTGAGATCAAGCCCCAGTCCCACATGAGACTCTGCACTGACAGTGTGGAGCCTGCTTGGGGTTCTCTCTCTCTCTCTCTCTCTCTCTCTCTCTCTCTCAAAATAAATAAATAAACTTAAAAAAAAATAATGGACATTTAAAAAGCAGACAACAGGCTGGTCATCTGGAAAGAGATAATATTGGGTCCACACCTTATACCACATCCAGGGCCAAGTCCAACTGAGCTCACAGGATCTCAGATTCTTTTATACTACAAATTACATTTTCAGTTCACCTTGGAAATAGTTTCAGATAGCCTCCATCCACTAACATGCACTCACTTCTGAGAGATAGGAGACAACCTCGTCACTCAGGGCCAAATGAAACTGGCTGATTGGCTCAATATGTCTGGGAAAATTGAGCTATTCCTAGTGATATCAAAAACATTTCTTCAGCTTGCCAAGGAAAAGATACAGGGAAGAGAGCATTCTGGTAGAGGCAGGGGGAGATTGGATAAGATCACAGGTTTCCAGGGCAACTGTGGAGAGGAGAAAGGGGCTCCTGCTAATTGGGAAGAAAAGAAACATGGGTGATGGTCTAGGTTGGGGCTTAGCAAACTTTTTCTATGAAAGACCAGAAAGTGACTACCCTAGGCTTTACTGGACACATTTTCACATATTCATCTTTACAATCCTGTAAAAATATCAAAACTATGTTTAGCTGACAGCCAGTGCTAGATTTGACACAAAGCCTGTAGTTTGCTGACCCCTGAAGTAGATGGTTTTAAAATTACTCTAGAGAGGTGTCTAAGGAGTTCATTCTTGGCCTCTTTCCTTAGTGATATTACCTGCTAGAATGCAAGGGACAATGATCTATTGTGAGGAATGATGTAAGAAAAAATTGTAAGGTGAATGGAAAGATTGTCAAGTAACACTGCACACCCAAGTGAAGGTAAAAACAAAACAAGTGACAGAATCAATCCACACAATTGTTGGCGCCATCTGGGGCAAATTTGCTTAAAACAAACAGGTGGATTAATGTAATGTTGGGATTTGTCATATGAGAGGATGGGGGTTCTGATGGGAAATGTTTGCGTTGAGTGACCATGAGTAAAAGCTGAGCAGAAAGGAGGGATGGAAACCAACAAGAACAACAAGGAGAAACTGAAGACTCAGAGGCAAGGATGAAGCCATGAGGCAGGTTTCAGGAACTTTTCCAGAAATGTTACAGCCAAACTAAGCATAAAATGCATTTCCTTTTTGTGCTCCATAAATAGAACCATGCTATATTCTGTTCTGCACTTTGCTTTTATTCACTAATAACTTATCTTTCCAGCTGCATAGTGTTTCATTACATGGATTTGCCATGACTTCTGAAGACTCTTGGTGGACATTTAGGTTTTTTCCAGCATTAGGTTTGACTAGAAATCTAGAATGAACATTGTTATATGTCATTCCTCTTTCACTTTTTGCAAATGAATCTTAGGATGAATTTCCATACATGAAATTGCTGAGTCTAAAAGTTATATGCATGTGGAATTTTGTTGGCTGTTGCCAAATGAATTACCCTACATTACAGACTGCACCAATTTCCATTCCCAATGATGATGGGGAATAAGGTTCGTTTCCCCACAATCTCATCAACAATGGATGTTATCAAACCTTTCCATCTTTGCCAATCTGATAAGGGAAATAAATGGTGCCCCAATTTTTATTTTCACTTCTTAATTACAAGGGAAGTCAATCATTATTTCTACTTATATTAGTTACTTGTATTTCTTTTCCTGCGAACTGGCTATTTTTATCCTTCCCTCTATTTTTGTTAGGTTATTTATCTCTTTCTTATTGATGTATGTGGTTCTTGCACATTAAGAAACCTAGCCCTTTTTCAAATGTCTTGCAAATATTTTCCCAGTTTTCTTATTTAAAAAAAATTTTTTTTAAGTTTATTTATGTATTCTGAGAGAAAGCACACATGCACGTGTGTGTGAGCAGGGGAGGAGCAGAGGCAGGGAGAGAGAATCCCAAGCAGGCTCTGTACTGACAATGCAGAGAGCCCCAGGCTTAGCTCAAACTCAGGAACCTTGAGATCATGACCTGAGCCGAGATCAAGAGTTATATGCTTAATAGACTGAGCCATCCACGCACCCCTACTATTTGTCTTTCTTAATGAACTTCATGCATTGCAAAAGATTATATGTTTTATATTTCAAATTCTTTCATCCTGTTTTTAAAATCTGCTTTTTGCCTTCCATACTCCAAATGGCTAGGAAGTTTTCCTCAACACCATTTATTGAAGGATCTGTCTTTTCCTATATAAAGTTGTCTCTATGTTCGCACTCCTATTCTGTAATCTATCTGTATCCTGTGTCAAGACCTGCCAAATTGTTTTCATAACTGCAGTTTTATAATTATCTTTTATATTTGGAAGAGCTTTTATCTACATCACTGGCCCTTCTTTTCCATGATCTAAACAGAAGATTTTTGAAGAAAAATTAAGAACATTAGTCTGAAAACTACAAAGGAAACCAACCTCATGTTCCTGGCTGAGAGATCAGAATATAACCAAGGGATTGCTAGGGAAATGGCATTGTCAAACAGAAGACCGATTTCAGGGATGGTGAGTAAATATGATGGCATTTTTTCTTTCTTTCTTTCTTTCAAATTTTTATTTAAATTCTAGTGAGCTAATGCGTAGTGTAATATTGGTTTCAGGCATCGAATTTAGTGATTCATCACTTACATACGATAACCAGTGCTCATCATAACAAGTGAAGGCATTTTTTCCTAGCAATGAACATGGTACTGAATGAATTGAGAGCATTGTGAGGGCCTGAGAGAAAGGAAGGGGAAAGAGAAGAAGGAAGGGAGAAAGAGAGAGGGGCATAGGCAGAGAAGAAGGAAATTATCTGACAGAAGACCAAAGAAATGAGGGTGTGAACTACAGAAATGGTGGGGCAGGGTGTGTGTGTGTGTGGGGGGGGGGGGGGGGAGGTCATTACCACAGAAAGGAAACAGAAGAGGCAGTAGAATTTACTTAAAAATCAAACATTTAGGGGTACCTGCGTGGCTCAATCAGTTAAGTGTCCAGCTTCCGCTAAGGTCATGATTTCATGGTTCGTAAGTTTGAACCCCATATTGGGCTCTGCATTGACAGTGCTGAGCTTCCTTGGGATTCTCTCTCTGCCCCTGTTCTGAGAGCGCTCTAAATAAAAAACTTTAAGATAAACTTGAAAAAAAATTTTTAATAAAAATAAATAAATAAATAAATAAATAAATAAATAAAACATTTAAAAACCTGTACTGGATGCCTGGGTGGTTCAGTCAGTCAAGCCTCTGACTTCAGCTCAGGTCATGATTGACGTGGGAAACAAAGGCAAAAGGAAATGGCAGATAAAATTAAATTTCCTTATAACCTGCAGCCCATTACAAATACTTGAGGCTGGGAGAGTAAAATGTTTCTCCAGGAACTCCCTACTATCTTAATGCTAATGCTTTGCTAGAGGGAAAAACAACCTTAGCTTGACAATACCTGGGCCACAGTGTCCTGGGAGTCTTCTTTAGCATATGAAAATCTCATTGGAAACTTCCACTGGACTTTACCTCCCCCAACACCATAATATATAACCAGTCTCTCCTCATGGTCCCAGGGCAGCTCTTCTACCCACCGGTCCTGTCATGTGCTTTAATAAAATCACCTTTTTTGCACTAAAGATGTCTCAAGAATTCTTCCTTGGCCATCGGCTCTGGACCCCACAACTCCACCAACACCCCGTAAAACCTCATCAATGATCTCAGGGTCCCTTCAGTTGGAGCCCCACATGGGGCTCACCACTGTCAGCGCAGAGTCTGCTTTAGATCCTCTGTCCCCCTTGCTGCCCCTCCCCCTCTCATTCTTTCTCTCTCTCTCTCTCTCTCTCTCTCTCTCTCTCTCTCTCTCTTTCTCTCTCTCTCTCAGAAATGAACATTTAAAAAATAAAAAAATAAAAACCTGTACTGAATGAACATCAGAGGACCTGGGGTGTCAGGCCTGGCATTGGAGTAAATACTTCATCTCTCCAGTTCTTTAATTAAAAAAAAAAAAAAAAAGAAAATGGGTAGAATTAAATCTGGCCTATCTTTAGCAAGACAAAATGGCCGATGTGAGAGATGTTTTGCATTAACTATAGAAATGAAGGTTAAGGGGTTCAAAGTGCTGGTATGGACAGTTTGGGATATTTTACTTATATTACCCCACTTATCCTTTAAGACTTAATATGAATTTTTGAATAGGTAAAACGTTTACATGATTTGAGAGTCAAAATCATATAAGTTACACAGAATTATTGCTCCTACCTCTGCCCACTCCTCCCAGCCCATTTGCTAATCTACCCCCATCTCTAAAGATTTATTAGTTTGTTTGCAAATACTAATATTGGTATATTTTTCCCTATCGTCTCCCCTTTCTTACACAAAAGGAACTACATTAGATGCCTTGTTTTTTTATCATGTAATATGTCCTAGAAAATGTTCCATGTCTATACATAGACATCCTCATTTTTTTAAAGCTAGTGTGGATGTAACAGAATTTAACATGTCCCCTACTAATGGACATTTGAGTTGCTCATTCGATGTGACAAATGCAGCAATTAATAACCCTGGACCAATGTCAGTTTTAAGTGTTGAAAGGGCGGGCCTACGCCGGCCGACTCCATCTTGTTCTGTGTCCTTCACCTTGACCACACCTCCTCCCCTTGAGTAACCCCCCCCCCTCACCTGCCTAACAGGACTCAGACCCTTCCCCAGGACCCTTCCCCAGCCAATCGGCTGAGGCCATAGCCATTACCTCACCAACTGCCCCTAGGCCCCAATAAAACCTTTGTCCTTTTGAAACTCGCTCTCTCTCCCTGGTATCTCACCGCTGCTCCGTCGGTGCAGGTAGGGGATTGAGCTCGAGCTAGCTCGAATAAAGGCTCTTTGCTTTTGCATCGGACTCGGCTCCCTAGTGGTCTTTGGGAATCACGAATTCTGGGCATAACTGTGTGTACAGGTATTATCTGTTAGATAAATCATGAAATTGAGGTTGTTAAAGCACTAATTGATGAGGAGAACAAAGGCAAGAGAAAGTAGCCAAAATTAAATTTCCTTACAGCTTGAAGCTCAGATAAGATACCAGAGACACGCAGAACGTGACCTTCCTCAAGGAACTCATGGCTGCCTTAATGCCTTAATGTTTATGTCTTTAATTAAAGACTAAGAGTAAGCAACCGGGGTGCCTGAGTGGCTCAGTTGGCTAAGCGTCTGACTTCGGCTCAGGTCATGATCTCACCGTTCGTGAATTCCAGCCCCTCCATTGGGTTCTGGGCTGACAGCTCACAGCTTGGAGCCTGCTTCAGATTCTGTGTCTCCCTCTGTCTGCCCCTCCGCTGCTTGCACTCTCTCACATTGTCTCAAAAATAAATAAATGTTAAAAAAAATTTTTTTAAAGACTAAGAGTAACCATATCTTTCTTTCATGTTTATTTATTTATTTACTTAGAGACAGAGAGAGAGAGCACTTGTGCATGAGAGCAGGTGGGGGGCAGGGGGAGGAGGGGCAGAGAGAGAATCCCAAACAGGCTCCACGCTGAGTGTTGCAGGGCTCAGTCCCACAACCTTGAGGTCACAACCTGAACCCCTATCAAGAGACAGATGTTCAACCAACTGAGCCATCCAACTGCCCCAAGAATAACCTTATCTTAACAGCAGCTAGCCCCTCAAGGTCCCAAAAGCCTTGCTTCCAAATTCCTTAGAGAGTTAAACTGTCCCTAACCCTCACTAATTAAAAAGTATATAATCAGCCACTCCTCACAATCTCAGTGCAGCTCTTTCTGCCCCTGGGTCCTGTCTCTGTGCTATAATAAAATAATTTGCACCAAAAAGTTTTAAGAATTCTTTCCTGGCCGTTCGCTCTCAAACCCAAACTTCAAATCACATCAGCAATGCTTCCATAGCTTTGCAGACATTGCAAGATTCCCCTCAGCAGGGATCATGCCATTTTTGTCATTCCACCCACATCATGTGACAGTGCCCACTATCCCCACAGCATAGCCAAAACAATGTGTTGTCTCAAAATTTTGACTTTTGCAAATCTCATAGGGAGAAATGGCATCTCGGTAGAGTTTTCTGTGTTTTTTTAAAATTCTGTGCTTTTTCTCCTTCTAATTTCTTTAACTTATTAATAATAGCTATTTTAAAGTTTGTGTCCACTAACCCCAGTGTTTGGATAATCATGGCATCTGCTTCTATTGGTTATTCGTTATTTTTTTCTCTGATTCACATTTTTGCACATTTTGTATCGTATGCCAGTGTTTGTGGATAAAGGAAGTAAAAACTCTCCAGGTCTTCCATGATCGGGCCGCACTTTTTTCCAGAAAAACTGTGTATTTCAATAAAAAACAAAACAACAAAGCACAGCCCCATCATGGAAGGAATTGATCATTTTGTATCAGTTGTCCCAGGTAACTGTTACTACTTTTCAATAGAAAGGAAATCTACTTCAGAAACATTTTCTTGAATTTTCATTTTAAATATTTGTTTTGTCCCTTTATTTCAGTTTTTCCTCAGGGACTCCAATTTTACATATCTTGGATCTCCTTTATCTGTCTTTCATTGCTTCCACATTCTCGCTAAACCTTTTCATTTCTTTATTTCATTTTCTTCACTGTTACTACCCTTATGCTTTACGCCTCTTACTGTTCTAGTATCTCCTCTCTCTGGTGCTTCTTCTAAGTTAGTCTTCCTTCCCTTTTCCAGTTCTTTCTTGAATTCTCTCCATTCTCCTCTCATATTCCCCTGTTATCTGTCTCTTACCTTCTGTTCTCAGAATGTTCTTCTCTGAGTTCCTATAATTCTGATTCCCCCTAGCTGCAATTGTTTCATTAAATGTTTAAATTTATCTTGGAATATTGTGTTATAATTTTCCTCTACTTTGTGGCAACACTTCTGGTGAGTTTTCTTCATATCCAGACTTTTACTTCTCTGCTTTAAAAAAATTTTTTTAATGTTTATTTATTTTTGAGAGAGAGAGAGGAGGAGAGGGGCAGAGAGAAAGGGAGACACAGAATCCAAAGCAGGCTCCAGGCTCTGAGCTGTCAGCACAGAGCCCGACACAGGGCTCAAACCCACGAACTGTGAGATCACAGTTGAAGTCGGACGCTTACCCAACTGAGCCACCCAGGTGCCCCTTCTTTGTGCTTTTTTTTTTTTTTTTAAATAATAATACCTTTGTATTGATGTTGCTGTTTCACTCTTTTATTTGAATGAGTTTGATTTTCCTGGGCCAGCTATTTGCAGGAGTATCCTGTGGAAGGGGAGTCAGAGAAGCAGAGTGTTCCCCGCTTCTCAGTGTGAGGACTCTTCCACTGCTACATGGAAGGATGCTTTCTTTAATACATAGTTCCCTATGTAGCCAAGATTCCTCAGATTCTTACATCCTAACTTGGTTCAGAGGGAATCATACTACACTCTCTTTCCTTCCTTCCATTCTCCAACACTACCAAGAGACACTGTCATCCACCTTCCCAGGTGGTCTCTCTTTTTAAAAAGCGGTGCGGGGCGCCTAGGTGGCGCAGTCGGTTAAGCGTCCGACTTCAGCCAGGTCACGATCTCGCGGTCCGTGAGTTCGAGCCCCGCGTCGGGCTCTGGGCTGATGGCTCAGAGCCTGGAGACTGCTTCAGATTCTGTGTCTACCCCTGTCTCTGCCCCTCCCCTGCTCACTCTCTGTTGTCTCACAGTCTCTCAATAATAAATAAACGTTAAAAATAAATAAATAAATAAATAAATAAATAAATAAATAAAAAGTAGTGCTTCCTTAAAAATTTCCTTTGATAGACTCCCAGGCACTTTCTGTGCCTTCTCTGCCCACCCCCCAACATGTGCCCCACCCTGTTGCTTCCCTATCCTATTCATAGCCATTTCCTCTCAAGGTGGGTCCTTCTCAGAAATCTGAAGGTTCATATTTGCTAGTGGCTTTTTTAGCTTGCCACCACTAGGGCCTCTGTGTATTCTCTGACCCACTCCCCCTTGCTCATCATGCTGTCTCCCAGTTGTCGCTTTCCATACTGGTTCTGCTGGCTTAGAGCTTTGGGCTGCAATTACATATTTTAGAGTTTGTAAGTTTTCTCTGTTCCTAGTTTCACTGATAATTATAGTTCCTGTATGGGTTTTTGGGTTGTTTTCTAGGAGGAAAAGTGGGCAGACCAGAACTAGGCTGTCACCATATCCCTGCAAGAAACTCTCAAGATACCTTTCGGAGAGAAATGTGGTAAGAAACTAAAAGCAGTCTAAAACATTAAGTGGCTATTTTTCTGGTGTGTATGTCCTGGCTTCTCTGCTGGGGTGTGAGCCTCTGGAGAACAGGAACTAGCCCCTGTGGTGCATGGCACAAGGTCCACCTTTACAGGCCATTGGCTAACAGTCACAGCAAAGCCCACTTGACTCTAGCCTTGCCCACCACATGCCCCTCCAGATACACGGCTCCCCATACTTGTTTCTGAAGTTGCACTGCTTAAGTTGCAAGAGCTTTTCCCATATCTGTGTTCTTTAGAGAGCAAAGTGGGAAGGCGTTGCTGATTGGTACTGTTCAGATGAAAAATGGGTATGAAGCCAGCAGAGGACTTGGATCACTGTTCTATCCCCTTCATTGTCCTAAGGCATTTGTACTTACCAGCTACACCAGGGAGCTAAGAGCTCCCCATTCTGTAAGCACCAGGAGGACCGTGAAGGGGACACGTTAGAGATGCCCTCAGGAGGTCTCCGGCTCTAGTGAGAGGAGGCAACACCCATACATTGGTTGGCTAACTTGCTTGTGCTTCCTCCAGAGCACAGACCCATTAGGCTCAGACTTCCAGATCTGGGAGCTCAATCCTGAGAAGCGTTCACCCTTTAACCACTCCCAACCCTTCCCTCTAACACAGACTTAGGAAGTTTCCTGCACTGAGTCCCATCTTTGTCTGGGGACATCACTTTTTTCTTATTAACGTCACTAACTCAAACACCTTCTGTTGTTTTTGCTTTTGTTGTTTTGTTTTTGTTTTACAAAAGCTGACTTCACTTGACCATTTTGTAATATTTCTTCCTCCCTTCCTGTCCTCTAAGCTGGTATGGATTAAAAGACAGTAGTCCTTTTATTGAAAGCACTTGCCTCCCCCCCCCCCAAAAAAAAAAACCACTCAGGAAACTCAGAAAAATTCAAAAAATTTTTTTAACGAATTGCAAATACAAGCAAGACAGAATCACTGTGAGTGTGGGGAAGTAGAACATGGATCTGACACTCAGGAAGCTCACCAAAAGCAGCAGAAACTGGCTGCCGCTTACGCCTCCACACACGCACTCACACAGCTGCCGATGGCGGAGGACGCTCTCCTGGACTAGGTAATTGTTTCTTCCTTCAGCAGTGTCTCCTTTTGTATTGAGCTCAGGTCTCCTCCCAGACTCTCCATATTCTCCAGGTGTATGACCCCTTGGGTCTCCTGGATACTCTGGGAATTGGGCAACAAACGGCAGCGAAGGCAGGCTGCTTCTTGAAAGAGGCAGATGGCACCTGGGTGACAGCGAAAGTTCAGGTCAGAGTTGAGTCAAGCTCTCCGTGCCCTAGAGGTCAGGCACTCCCTCCTTTAATGTGTGACCCCTTCCGGTCTGCACCCACCTTCCCTAGTTCTCCCCTCCGATGTAGAGAATTACAGAGATAGATGGGAAAACAGGACCCATTACAAGACAAGGCATACAAATAGATGGATAAACTCACAGAACCACAGCCAGTGTTGGAAGGCATCTTAGCAACTGTCTAACTATTAATAGGCAAGAAAAAGAGCTTTAAGACATAAAACCCAGGCTTTTTGAGGCAACTCAAGACCCTCAGTAAAGTAAAATGGAAGAAGAGAATTGATGTCATAGAACAAATAGAGGTATCTTGAGTGAACAGTAAATGCTGTATTAAGGTTAAGACTCAGATAAAGGACAACTTCTATTTTCAGCAATATAGCAGACTACATACCCTCCCACTAAAAACGACAAAAATTCTAAATAAGATTTTTCTTCAAAAACTAATTTGTAAATATATCAGCAAACTGGCATCAGAGTAAGGCATTCTTAGAAACAAAACCCTAGTGAAAACAGGAACCTAGAGAGTTAAGCAAGCACACAATTAGCCTTCACCTTGGAGACATACACTCAACTCCGGTGACCCTGAGTTTCCATTCTGCGGGCCTTTTGGGGCACAGAAAATGAGAGGAAAAGCCCAGGGCCTACTCAAGATGAATCTAACAAGGGTCTACAAAGCTAGAACTTTGAAGTTACCAAGATTGACTAAGAACTCATAAACAGAGGCTAGCTGTTATATGGATCTGCAACTACACAAATACCTATGTGATTCTAGGCTAGTTGTGCATATAAGCACCAAGCAGAAACAAATGCAGATCCCTTTTTGAGAAAATACTTTATATACAGGCTTCAAAGGATTTCCACCAAAAAATTTGTTTTTTCAAGGAAAATAATTCACAGTCAAAAATCACAACTGTACCAAGAAATAAGATGCCATAAGCAAAAGCCTGCAAAAGCAGCAGCCAACAGACAGAGGCTTGTATTTCAGTTGTTAAACTTGTAAGACACAGAATGTAAAGTATGTTTAACATGCATAATAAAAATATATTTATAGAATAGATTAAAAATATAAGTAGAGAAAAGAGTATAAAAATTAACAAGCATTAAGGAAAAATATAACTTCTGGTTATAAAAACAGATTGACTAAAATAATTAATGGATAAGTTAAATAGCAGATCAGACACAGCTAAAAAGTGAATGGATTAACTTGAAGATACATCTATATAAGTTATTCAGAATACAGCCCAGAAAGACAAAGAGATAGAAGTGGGGGAGGGGGGGGGCCGAAGCAAAGAAATGGAAAGCAAGAGAGAGAGACACACACGCAGGATACAGTAACAAAGTCTAACATACGTCTTCCTGGAAAAGAGGGAAAGAATATAGAAAGAAGATAAAAATATTTGAGAAATTCTGAAAGACATTACTCCTCAGACTCAGTTCACACCACAAATCATAACACAAATATCTACACTTGGCAAAATGCCCAAGAAAGCCTTACAGAAAACAAAGAGTGCCTCAAAAAGAATGATATAGGGGTGCCTGGGTGGCTCAGTCAGTTGAGCCTCTGACTTCGGCTCAGGTCACGATCTCACAGTTCATGAGTTCGAGCCCCACTCTGGGCTCTGTGCTAACGGCGTGGGGCCTGGAGCCCGCTTCAAATTCTGTGTCTTCCTCTCTCTCTGCCCCTCCCCAGCTTGTGCTCTGTCTGTCTGTCTCTCTCTCTCAAAAATAAACAAACATTAGGGGCGCCTGGGTGGCGCAGTCGGTTAGGCGTCCGACTTCAGCCAGGTCACGATCTCGCGCTCCGTGAGTTCGAGCCCCGCGTCGGGCTCTGGGCTGATGGCTCAGAGCCTGGAGCCTGTTTCCGATTCTGTGTCTCCCTCTCTCTCTGCCCCTCCCCCGTTCATGCTCTGTCTCTCTCTGTCCCCAAAATAAATAAACGTTGAAAAAAAAAATTAAAAAAAAAAAAAAACATTAAAAAATTTTTTAAATGATATATTGTTTAAATGTTTATTTATTTTTGACAGAGAGAGAGAGAGAGCACGCGAGAGAGTGGGGGAAGGGCAGAGAGAGAGGGAGACACAGGATCCGAGCATACTCTGCACTGACAGCAGACAGCCTGATGCGGGGCTCGAACTCACGAACCTCGAGATCATGACCTGAGCCAAAGTCTGACACTCAACCGACTGAGCCACCCAAGTGTCCCAAAAGAATGATATTTTTACAGAGTCAGATTAACAACAACAATGGAAGTGGTAAAGTAATAACAGAATATCTTGAATGCTGTGAGAATACTGTCAACTTAAAAATGTAAGTACAGCAGGCTGCCTGGGTGGCTCAGTTGGTTAAGCATCTTGATTTGGGCTTGGGTCATGATTTCGCAGTTCGTGAGTTTGAGAGTGGGATATTCTCTCTCTCTCTCTCAAAATAAATAAATAAACTTAAAAAAATACTATCTAAAAAAATGTAAGTATGGCAAAATTAATTTTAGTAAACAAAAATGAAAGGAAGATAATTTCATACAAACAAAATATGAGAGAAAGTGTATCTCTAACTGAACCTCACTAAAACACATTATAAAGGATGTATTTCAGGCAGAAGGACAGAGGGTCCTTAGACAGAAGGTCTGAGGTTTGATGAGCATCTAAACTGATAAATATGTGGGTAAATTTAAACAAATAAATATTAAATGCATAAAGTAACAATACTGTCAAATATACAGAACTAAAAAGAAAACAGAAGAAACTAAAACATTGTGCAAAATAGCATATAAATTAGGAGGGAAGTACCTTGTATTACTTATGAAGAAAATAAATGTGTTGATGAACTTCCAACTTTGTTAAGTAAGCGTATTAAAATGTCAAGACTAACTACTACAAAAATACAAATAGATTCCATAACTTCCAAACTAAAGAGGGGGAGGATATAATGAGAAATGTATAGATAAAAGTCAATCAATTAGAAGCAAGGCAAGAGAGGTGGGACTGGGGAGCAGAAAAAATTGAAAGCACGAGGTAAGGTGGTAGAAAAAATACAAATATGGGGCACCTGGGTGGCTCAGTCAATCAGGTGTCCAACTCTTGATATTGGCTGAGGTCATAATCTCACAGTTCTTGAGATCGAGCCCCACATTGGGATCTGCACTGGCAGTGTGGATGGAGCCTGCTTGGGATTCTCTGTCTTCCTCTCTCTCTGCCCCTCTCCCACTCTCACTCTCTCTCTCTCTCTCAAAATAAATAAAATAAACTTCAAAAAAAAGGATCAAATGTATCAGTAGTCACAATAAATGTCAGTCAATAATAAATGCTCCAGTTAAAAGACAAAGAGTGTAGGGGGAGCCTAAGTGGCTCAGTGGATTAAGTGCCCGACTTTGGCTCAGGTCATCATCTCACAGTTCGTGAGACTGAGCCCTGAGTCAGGCTCTGTACTGAGAGCTCAGAGCCTGGAGCCTGCTTTGGCTTCTGTGTCTCCCCTTCTCTCTGCCCCTCCCCCGCTTGTATTCTCATTCTCATTCTCTCTCTCTCTCTCAAAAATAAATAAACATTTAAAAAAACAAAGATTGTAAGACTAGATGAAAAAATACAATCATAAGCTATGTGTTACATATAAGTAAAAGATCAAAAAGATATAGAACAGGCAAATACTGACCTAAAGAATGTAGAAATAGCTAGAGTAATATCAGATAAAACAGACTTTAACAAAAGGGATTTCTAGAAATTAAAAAGATCATGGCATAATGATTAAATAAAAGTTCAATTCACCAGTAAAACAGAACAATTCTAAATCAAGATTTGAACAATATAATAAACAAGCTTGATCTGATGTTTATAAATGAAAAGTTGTATTCACATAAAACATGAAAGTGGACCTCAGACTAGACTATAAAACATGTCTCAATAAATCTGAACACATTAGGATTATACAGACCATGATCTCTCATCAAATTGAAATTAAGTTAAAATCATTAACACAAGATACAGTAAAAAATTATATGCTTAGAAATTTAAAAGTATATTTTAAAATACTTCATGGATCCAAAATATCATAAGGGGAACTGGAAAATGTTTGAAATAGAACAATAACATAAAATATTACATATGAAAATGGGAGATTCAAATAAAGCAATTCTCACAGGGAAAATAGAGCTTTACTTGTCTACTTAGAAAAGAAGTAAGCTATGAGTTTAGATCGTGATTTAAGAAGCTGGAAACGGAATAGCAGAATAAATACAAAAAAGAAGTAGGGAAGGAAGTTCAAAATAAGAAGTAAAAATTAATTCAATAGAAAACAAACATAAAATATGAAGGTTCAAGAAAGCTTAAACCTGGTTCTTTGAAAAGACTAAAAATATGGTAAACTCTGACAAAATTGGCAATGAAAAAAGAGAAAATTAGGTATGAAAAAAGAAGCACATCACTACAGGTGCATCACAAAATAAAGAGTTAAAAAAGAAAACATTTTGAATAAACTTATGCCAATAAATTTCAAATTTTAAACAAAATGTATAAGCTTATAGACATATATAAATTACTGAAACTAACTCAAAAGGAAATAAAATCCCTGAATAGTCCTATAGTCATTTAAGAAACTGAATCGTGATCTTAAAATTCTCCCACAGAGAAATACCATATTCCTTCTACAGGCAAGCTTAGTTATACAATTAAATACTTAAGATGGTAAAAATGAATGAACCTTAAGAGTTCTTCATATTACCATGGAGGTTACAATGTTGATCAAACATAACAAGTTCCAGAAAAATAAATATAGTATGATTATACAAAGTTTTAAAACATGTAAGACTAAGTAATATATTAAGGATATATATGTGGGTAGTAATATGATTATCATAAATTGCAGAATAATTGGTTCCCGAGGGGAGAAAGGAGGACAAGATCAGGAAGAGCCACATGGTTGAGGGGGCAGGACTTCAAAGATTCTTAATATTCTAACATATTTCATTAATGCAGACAAGCCAATATTCTTCACTTAACATCTCTGAAATAAGGATGTGCCTTACAAGTTATACCACCTTAGAATTATTCCTAGCATCCTTTTTTCTCTTTCAGTGGTAAATAAAATAAAGGTGTAACTTACAAACAATGGATTCCATGAAAATATGGCTAGTTCTTAAACTATATGGTGGAAATGGGTGCACAGTTTATTTTTAATTACCTCTTATATATTATAAATGTTTTTATATATTCAGTGTATAATAAAATCAAGTTAACACAGATTATGTCATGGGTCAGATTAATATAGTAGGAAGAAGATTAGGAAAAAGGACAAAATCAAATAGGATCGGGACTTAGACAGTGATGGTATATAAAATAAGAGAGTAAAGCGAGACTGAGGTGAATAAGATTGTAGATTCCGAGATAGAGATAGAGATAGGCATAGAAACCCTTTGGAGCCAGGACAGAGTAAGACAGAATATGAGATCTGGAGGTTGGTTCCAAAGTCAAAGAGGAGGAAGATGGGCTATAGGGCTGAGGCTCTAGAGCAGTGCTGTTGAGTAGAACTTCTGCAACGATGGAAATATCTGCATCTGCACCATTCAATATGGCAGCCACTAGACACATAATAATGTGGTTACTGAACATCTGAAATGTGGCTAGCATGACCGAGAAACTGAATTTCTATTTATTTCAAGTAATGAAATGGCCACAAGTAGCTAGTGACCACAGTTTTGGACAGTGTTGCTCTAGAGTGTCCATGGCTTCTGAATCCAGACAGAGGGCAGGGAGAAGGGCACTAGCCCCAGGACACTCACCAGCCACTATGAACAGAAGGATGGCAAAGCCCAGAACGTAGTAAGGCCACTGCACCGAGAACTTGGGGGGGCTGGGCTTCATCCTCAGATTCTGGATCTCCAGGGCATGCAGCAACAAGGCCAGGAAGGCACTGGCCCCTGCAGGGTCATAGGGAAGCACTCTTGATCTCCTCACATGGTTCCCACCTTTGCTCTTAATCAGACAGAGTCACATGGCTTACAGCCTGTATGGTTCCTACATGGAGGCTCCTTTCTCCAGCCCACACCTGTGCCCTCTCAGAGTCAATAACCTCTACCCCACATGCCTGTCTTGCCCTCCTTCCCAACACATTTCAAAGCCCATGTGCCTCACCTCCCAGAGGCCCCATAACCAGAAATCCCTTTCCCTGGTACCCTCTGTGCCTGTGCCATTGGCTGACTCCAGACGGGGCCCTCTGGGTGTGATGCTTTGGGTGCAATTCAACCTGATTTTCCCACTGTGAGCGTTCCACCTCCTCCATGTGATGGGAGCCTCCCAGGGTAGGGCCTTGGCCAGCCTTTTAAAGTCAAAAGGTTCCAAAGGGCAGAGATGGTGTCTTCCATCCATTCATCCAACAAACACTTATATTTCACTCACATATTTCACTTGTGTATTATCATTCTGTGTCAGATTCTATGAAAGTCACTGGGATAGAGATTATGGTAAAAAGACCCCCAGACAAATGACCCCAAGCCAACATAGTGAGGGTGGAGCTAGCTGGAAGTACAGGGTGCTGTGCAGCCTCAGAGAGAGGTACTGTGATCCGGGGTGGGGGGGAAGGCTGCCTCAGAGAAGGCCACAGGTGAGAGGGTCCCTAAAAATTCTCTCTCCTGACACCACAGAGACCAACCATCTCCCTGCCTTTGGGCCCCTCCCCAGCCCCTTCCCAAGGCTGAGGCCTGCCTGACAACAAGGCTTGCCTGCCTGTTCCACACCTGTGAGGAAGCTGATGAAGGCTGACACCAAATTGTGCTTCCGGGTCCTCGGAAACAGCTGAGATGCAAAGGACACCAGGATGAAGGTGGTGAGGAAAGACAGGACAACCGCGGACAGCAGGAAAACGCGGCCGAGAATGATGTACACTGTGGGGGAGGGGAGGCTGGGCTGCAGCTGGACCCCTGACCCGTGACAAGGGACAGAGCCCCGCAGAGCCTGCAAAGAGAAGCCCCCCCACCAGCTTACCACCCTCAGTCCCACAGCATGGCCTGGGACCCCAGCTCTGACCCCTCCACTTTGCCCCCAACAATGAATGCTCTGGTTCCAACATTTTGTTCCCCGTGACATGGAAGTGTGTGGGGAAAAAAAATTAGATGGACAAACAGTCATTTTGGTAAGCAACATAAATGATACAAGTTGCATGTGGAAATGTGAAGAACTCCATCAATACTGGTCACACTGAAATAAGTGGCTAGTGGAAAATCAGAACCTGTGAGGTTGAGATGTTCTGAATTCTGTGGGGAATGCTTATTTAATTATCCCAGTTAACACAAGTCATGAAATAGATCCAAAATAGCAGAGCAAGGGACTTGATGACAGGGTGATTTATTCCCCTATTATTGGCATGATTCAGACCCATGTTAAAATGAGGTTTTTAGGGTTTCTTTGGGGGGGGTGGTACAAAAAAAGATGATTTTATTAAAGCACGGGGACAGGACCCACGGGCAGAAAGAGCTGCCGTTAATATGAGTTTTTATAGCCTTCTAAGCACGCAGAGATGGACAGCTGGGGGTGGGACAAAAAGACAAACATATCACTAAACTCCTAAGACAAAGGTATCGCTAAACTTCTAGAATCTACTCTTGGGCTAAACCAATGGTTTTCAACTGGAGGCAGGTTTGCACCTCCTCACCCCGGGGATATTTGGCAATGCTAAGAGGTAAGTTGGTTGTCACAACTGAGGGTAGGGGGTGCTACTGGCATCAAGTGGGCCGTAGAGGGCAGGGGTGCTACTAACTGTCCTGCAAACAACAGGAGAGCCCCGCAACAAAGATTTTCCAGCCAAAGTGTCAGTAGTACCGAGGCTGAGCAACTCCAGGTCAAGGAGCTCACACAGTGTGGCCCATCTTCCCCCAAAGAGGCTTCTCCTCTTCTGTTATCAGGAGAGAACCCCTATATCCCCCAGGTTCACCTCCTTTCCAAGACAGACATCCCCCTGACCCTCTCAAGCCCCTTATAAAAACACAGCCTCAAGTGCATCCACAGTCCACTGAGCTCATATTTCTGTGCATTCCCTTCGAAATGTCCTCAGGCCTGAGCACATTCTCTGTAGAGCAGCCACCCACAGTCGGACGGGCGTTTGGAAGTGAGGCTGAAATCCAGCCTCACAGAGTAGGGCAGGACCCCCGCCCCTCCATCCTAGATGGAGCCAGCCCTACCCCGCAAATAAACTTTGTTGCTGACACATTTGCTCCTGACCCTGGTGGTCAACCTGATATTATCAACCTTCTCCTGGCCACTACTTTCCTCTAACCCCAAAAGTAGAGACTCAGAAAATGCCCTTAGGGGCTTATTAAATTCTGTCCTCTCTGTCACCCAAACTGCCCACACTGGCCCATCTCCCTCTGCCCCATCCCCACCTCCATCCCTCCTTACCTGATAAGGGTCGAGGCTTCCAGCATTTGATATGGAAACAGTTCTCAAACAGGCCACTGAAAAACACTTCGTGGGACTCCTCGTTTACAAGCCGCACCCAGAAGGGAAAGATGGAGACCAGCAGTATAAGCAGGTAGCCCAGGGAGGTCAAGGCTGGGGCTATGGCCCACGTGAACCCCTTCATGTCCTTGTCCTCCAAAGTCAGCATCACCTGTTCAAGGGAAAAGTGAAGGCTTCTCAAGTGGAACACAGGGAAGGAGATGATGCCTACACAAACGGTAGCACATATGTGAGGCTCGGGAAATGGTGATTTCCTTGCCTGGATAAACTTTACAGCCTCACAGACTTCTTCAGCAGACCTAAAAAAATGCATAAAACATTTTTTTTGCCGCTAAGTCACTGGGTGATCTTGGGTAAGCAGGGTCCCTTCTCTGAGCCCTAATTTCCACCTCAATAAAATGAGGACGTTGGAATGGGCCATCCCCGAACCCTTCCAACCCTAAAGTTCTCACTGCTCAGTTCTGTTAACTACCACCCACCTACAAAGACCCTCTCCACTAAGCTTGGCAGGCAGCTAACAGTTAAGAGCTTTGGGGATTTCAGAATGATGATGAGAGAGATAATAAGGCTGGGGTCTGAGGTGCAAAGCCCTCAGTGTGAGGGGTTGCTCTCTCCAGTCCTCATCCTGTGTGAACACCCATGCTCAGGCCCAACACCTGGAGAGGCTCCAATGCAGACCCCCCAAACTGCAGCCGGGGCAAGGAGAGTCTCTAAGGCTGCGGGACCTACTTATCACCACAAACAGGACCAGCCTAATGGCGGAGGGTGGAGTGTGGGTGCCCTCCTGCACCTCCTACCCAAACACGCTGTGTATAACCAGGTACACAGAGTGCTCTTCGAGCGCTGGCAGAGTGGTTTGGAAACATCCCAATGTGCTTTCACCTCCTTCCTGTCACTACTTTTTCTTGTTCCCACCGAACAACTTCATCCTTCCCTCTCTCCAAAGCTCCCCTTTAGACGCTCCCTCCACCCTTCAGGCCTCACTGATGAGTCACTTGAACTTCAGGGCCCCAGTCTCCTTTGCTCTCAAATGATGGAGTTGGTTGGCCCGGAGAGCAGTCCTAGCTCTAAAACTGTCCGGTATAAGTCATGGCGACATCTTGACCCCCCTGCTCTGGGTGGGACGGAGGACACTGGGCGTGGGGTTGCGGTGGGCTGTGGCCTGCCTACACCCACCCCCCCACCCCCCCGCACAACCTCAATTTGTCTAAAACCGCCCTTTGTGTTTTCCCCATTTCAGCCATTCTCCATCACCACATGCTGGCGTGGAGCGCGTGCCGGCCTCTCCCTCTCTCCATGTCCCCATCTCATCCGCCTTCCTTGTCCTCCCAGGCTTCATCTCTGAAAGTCCCCACACCCACACTGTTCCTGCCCCATGCCCACAGGTCTCCCTCCACTCCTAGAATACCAGAGCCATCCCCAACTCCTCCAGCCTCCTTCCCCACTTTCCTCCTCAAAGCCCAACTCTCCTGTGAAGCTCAGCCTGGTCCTGGCCACTGCACACAACCCTCCCAGCCACCAGCCACTATCCATTCCCTCCACACTTACTGGACGCCCCATGACCAGCTTAGGCCAATGGGGGTGATTCAGGGATGAAAACAGACAGGAACTCGCAGGCTCTTGGTAACTGTGGGGTGAGAGACACAAAAACACGTCACAAGGTGCAATGCTTTCTTCTCCCCTGCCTGGCTTACTTCAGGGCCAGGCATACCCCAGTCCTATCTTCCCCCCTGCCCGGCTGCTCACCAGTGAGAAGGACCTTCGGAACAGCTCTTAGCACTGGGCCTGGATGACTGCGCCCCACAGATATACAACTTGTGGGGTGCATTGATCTAGGCCAGACTCGAAGGACCATAGACCTGTTAATATGACAGGGGATTTGTACATCCTTTTGTAGTGTTGAAACAGAGCAGGAGAGAAAGACCCACCACTGGTCCAGGATCCCAGTCAGTCAGCCCTGGGGCAAGGACCAGAATCCCACATGGCTGCCTCTCCCACCTCAGCTGACCAGGCCAGCAGTTTAGTTTGGAATTTAGTGGCCAGTGAATTCTTCCTACTAGGTAAGCTCATTTGCATGTGTGAGAAAGGGAGAGTGGGGGGGGGGGGGGGCGATGTAGAACTGCCAACTTTTTATTTTGCCACAAACATTCAAAATAAAACAAAAACAACTGTGACAGTTATTGTGACAGTAATAGTTATTACTATTACAGAGTGTTTTAACTATTATTTAAAAAGGATCTGTGACACTGGAAAGTAAAAGAGCTGCTAGCTATGTGGAGCCTGGAGGACTGGCATCTGGGAAGCAGGGCTTGTGCGGAAGCAGGGCTTCTCACTCTGGGCTCCCTCTGGGACAGTTCCTGAGCTACCCTGCAGCAGCCAGAATGCACCCCTGTCCCCACCCCACCCCCAGGCCGTGCAACCCCGGGGTCAGCTGGGACCTGCGCTAGGGGATGAATGAGGTGGGTGACATAAAGTACATCTGGGTTGGAATGGTGGGGGTACCTGTCAGGGTCACAGGGTGTCTCACTCCCTTTTCCCACCAGTCATTAGTGGCAACTTGGGCAGCAAATTGATTCGGGTTTGCTCTGAGGTTCCTTCCTACTGAAAAGCCTCCTGGGCCCTTCCCTTGCCCCAAAGCCACAGTGACATTTTCTGGAAACAACGATGGACCCAGATCTGATCATCCCCCCACCCCTGCCACCTCTGATCATCCCCCCAGCCCCGCCACCGCAGTGGGTCGCAAAAGCCTGGGGGGTGGCCTGAAGGCGGCAGGGGGAGGGGTGCTGGGGGCCCTCTCCACGCCCCCAATCCTTGGGCCCACCTTGCCGCTCCCTCCCGGGTGGTCTCTCCTCCCTCCTGGGGCACCTTCGGGGTTTCCGGGCCTCTAGGGCAGGGCTTCCCTCTAGGCCAGCCCCTCATCCAACCCTTTGGCCCAGAGCTTGTCCCTCTGTCCAGAGCTTCCGTTGGCCCGGAGGCGGGAGCAAGAATGCGCCCTCTCCTGACAGAGCCCACGGAGCCCGCGTGGGGCCCTGGGGCGGAGGGTGGGGGCTCATCGGCCCTGCAGCTTCACCTGCCCACTCACCTGGCCCTCGGCCCCGGGGTACCTGACCTCCGGGGCTGTTTGCAGAACGGACCTCGCGCACCCGTACGCCAAACGGGGTGGAAGTGATCTCGAGCCGGGCAGATCTCAATTCGAATTCCAGCTCTGCCATTACCAGCAGGGTGACCTTGGGTAATTTACTTCTTCTTGGGTGTCAGTTTTCTCGTCTGTGAAGTGGGAATAATAATAGTAACTCCTCTTGTTGGAGGGCTAAAAGGGTCCAATGACCCGTCCAATGACAAGCCCCCCTGACTCCTCAGGAGCCTGCCAGTTCATTCCCCTTCTCCAAGACCCTCATCCCCGATCACCCCACTCCTGCAGCCTCCCAAGCCTTTGTCCTGTGCGTGGGCCCGATCACCCTCAGGCCTCCCGGCCCCTCCATCCCTCTCCCCTTCTCTGCCCTCCCCTAAGAAGGCTGGCTACCCTTCTCACCCTGGCGGCTGGTTTCAACCTGGGGGAAGACTCTTCAGAGAGGGCAGGACTAACTTCCGGCTTTGGGAGACAGGTAGGGGGTGGCCACACTTAGAGCTGGATAAACCACCAGCAGCACCACACACAACCCCCACTCCGCCCCACTTTGAGTCTGCTTTCACCAAGGAAATGCATTTGTAACTCTAAGATTTTTAAAAGCCAGTACCATGTCTGGCACCGGCTCACCTCTCCTCTGGCCCTGACATATTCAAAACCGAGATGGGATGGGCCACTAATTCACCCAGTCACCTATCACGTGAGAGGCATGTGACAGGCCCCTATACTGTCCAGGATTGTATCTCTCAAAGTTTCAGAACCCAATTTGTAAATGTTCCCCAGAGACAGCCTCCACAGGCTTAGCTGGCTCGGGGCAGAGGTCCAGCTGGCAGGACCAGAGCTAGGCCAGGAAGACCCTCCCCCTTCCCACAACCTTCTGCCCTCGTCTCAGACAGATAACTCTGATCTCCTCCACCCGACAGGTTTTCATTCTCCAGGTGGCAGGGGAAGCAATTCACTTCCAGACTCCAGTCTTCACAGTTAGTCATCCTGGAGGAAAAGAAGGTTTTCCTCAGCCTATTCTCACCCTCTCCTTGTTTCAAGATTTCCCAAGTAAGCATTCTGATTAGCTCAAGTCACTGCTCATTCCACTCTGGCCAGAGAAGATAAGTCAACTGTGCTTCACAGTGGCCAGGCAGACAGGGTCACTGAGAAGTCAGCAATTTGGATTACATATCTGGATCAACATAAAAACTTTCTTAAAGGAAGAGGAATGGTGTCTTCAGAAGAAGGGAGAAATCATGGCAGACCAGGGCAGCATTTTCACGTGCACTGTTATGTTATACTTTTGAATCTCATTACACAGTAAACCCAAATGACAGGCATTATTATCCTCATACTGCAAATGAATAAAGTCTCGGGTTAAGAACTTGCCCAGAAGATCATGGATAGTTGCTAAAAACATTAGGCTGGGGGCGCCTGGGTGGTGCAGTCGGTTAAGCGTCCGACTTCAGCCAGGTCACGATCTCGCGGTCCGTGAGTTCGAGCCCCGCGTCGGGCTCTGGGCTGATGGCTCGGAGCCTGGAGCCTGTTTCCGATTCTGTGTCTCCCTCTCTCTCTGCCCCTCCCCCGTTCATGCTCTGTCTCTCTCTGTCCCAAATAAATAAATAAACGTTGAAAAAAAAATTTTTTTAAAACATTAGGCTGTAGGGGAATACATTATTTGCATGGTGCTAGAGTTTATCGTCCTTACAAATTACTAGTTGCAAAAGGAAAACATACGTTTACGTAGCAGAGATCTGGCAGTCACTACCTGAAACAGGTGAATAAACGGCATGACTTAGGGTGGGATAATATGACGTCGGTTGCCTACGGAGGCATTACAGTATGGAGACATGACCTATGAGGTTTTCTTGCCAAAAATGTTTAATCAAGCCTCTAAACCTCATTCCAGTTTAGAGGAAATACAGGGGGGTGGAGGGAAGTTAAATACCACCACAGGACAACAGGAACCAATTCTGTGAAAAATTCTAAAGGATAACTGTTCTGGACTCCTCCAAAAGTCATTGTCACAAACAAATGAACAAACAAAAGCAGAGGAACTATTCTAGATTAAATGAAACTAAAGAGACATAAAGCCAAATGCAATGTGACCCTGGTTTTTTTTTTTTTCTGATTAGAAATAAAATTGGTATAAAACACATTCTTGGGGCAACCAGGGAATGTCTGAATATAGACTGCATTTTAGATGTTATTAGGAAATTAAATTATTTTTCTTAAGTATGTTAAAAGTGATGCGATTATGTAGGAGACTAACCTTACTTGTAGGAGAAGCATGCCATGCTACTTAGGGGTGAAGGTTATGTCCATGCGTGCTCTCAAATAATTCAGAAAAAAAATTATATGGATAGAAAGTAGATATGGATAAGTGATAATAATTACTTATCTACATAGAGGATATATAGCATGTTCATTTATACCATTTTTCAACTTTTCCATATATTGAAATCTCTCAGATAAAAAAAAAAAAAAACTGGAAAAAAATAAAAAGAAACTTGGCTAAGAACATATCCACAGCAGTAACCTAAAGTACTCAGCCACGCAGCATCAAAGTGCTTTCTCTAATGACAGATACGACGTTCAATGTTCTGTGTGTACAGTCCTTGCCCTCGCAGAACTTGCCATCTAGCACAGAGACCGGTACCTGAATAAATCACTTTTTTAAAAAATGTGCTCAGTACACAAAGGATGGATAGCACCCTACAGGGATAGCAGAGGACAATTCAGCCCAAGGGAAGACCTGCAAGGAGGAAGGATTTACATGGAATCTTATCCCCAAAAGGGGATTGCATTGTGCAAAGATTTTCACCTGCTCTTCAGCAAGAACTACTATACATGGCACATATGTGCACATGGAAAAATCTCACTTCCCTTAGCTACGTGCAATGCACACAAATGCTTTCTATCCCAGTCCAGTCATGCTTACTTTTTTCTTTTACCCTCAGTGCTGGTTGCAACTCACTCCAATAAATTAATTTTATGACCCACTAGTTGCTTTGACCTACATTTGAAAAAATACTGTGTTCAAGGACCCAACAAATTTCAAAATGACTGGAAGGAGCGGCCCCCAGAGAACTGAAGACGTCAATAGGCAGAGCAGAGACGTGAAGGGTCTTGTAGAGTTACATCCTAAGGGCCATGAGAGGCCTCTGGTAAATTAAAGCAGTCATATTTGGGCGCCAATGCCAAAATTCCTCTTCCTCTTACTATCTTCCCTTTCCCAGATTCTATCCTCTAACAGAGCACAGGAAGAACCTCTCATTCAGGGGAGCCCAAGGCTGCGCCCACAGCATGGCTAAGGACTACCAGGCCAGCCCCCTCCAGGACTGGAGATTTTAGAATGTGTGCACAGGCTTAGGTTATAGCCTCCTCTGGAAGCATTTTCATATTTTCCCAGGTCCAGGGTAGAGGACAAGCAAGAATAACTGTCTGCTGGAAAATGGGGTGGAGTCCCCATGAGCTGGAGCTCTGACTTCCCCCAGACTCTGTGCTTCCTTGGGCCAGAGCTCCCAAGGGAAAACCCAAACTGTAGTTTTACCAGTTAACAGAACTGGGAAGTGAGCAGGCCTCTGCTCTCCAGACCTGGTTTACTGCACTTAGGGAATCCACCCACTAGCTGGCTCCATTCCCAATGCCAGGGCCCCACATCTCCTTCACCTGGGACACCTTCTCTCTCCTTTCACATAGGCTCCTGATGTGCTCCACACTCCCAGTCCAGCCCTCTTGCTAGCCCTCAGTGACTACGCCACAGATCCTATGTGATCTTTTTGTGTCTTTCAGCACCTGTGAAGCATTGTTGTCCCCTGTTGCATATATAGGTTCCCAACCTTGAATGCACATTAGAATTCGCTGGTAACCTGCAAAATCCCAATATCCAGGTCATACTCAATTCCATAAAATCTCTGAGATTGGGACTGAGGTACTTTGAAAGCCCCCCAGGTGATACAGTATGCTACCTAAGTTAAGAATTCCCGCTCTCTCATGTCCTGTTGCAGCTAGGAGCCATGAGTGGGCAAGGATGTGGGGTTACTATGGCTTCAGGTGATCAGTCATCCTGGTTCGCACAGGACTGAGCATTTTCTCAGATGTGAGACTTCCAATACTAAGACTGAGAACAGCCTGGCCAACCTGGATGAGCGGCTGACCTCGTGTTCACCTGAGGTCTAACAGCTTAGTCAATTTTCTGGCCACTAGTAATACTTGTGCCCAAAGAACCAGAGCCCTGCTTTAGTGGGTTTTTTTCCTACATCTTTTTTTTTTTTTTTTTAAAGTAATCTCTACACCCTACGTGGGGCTTGAACTTAACAACTCTGAGATCAAGAGTTGCATGCTCCACTGACTGAGCCAGCCAGGAGCCGCTCCCCCACTACTTTAGTGCCTTTGATACGGCTAGACAAACTCTTTGCTCTCCTTTCCTGGTCTCCACGGACACCTCCACCCTTGGAGCCTGGCCCATGACCCTGCACAATGACTTTGTCCTGAGATGCCCCTCCCTGCTATTCTTTTCTGCCAGTCAGAATCCTGCCCAGTCTGTGGGGCACCTCAGTCAGTTAAGCGTCCAACTCTTGATCTTGGCTCTGGTCATGATCCTACCGTTCATGAGTTCAAGCCTGCGTTGGGCTCTGTGCTGACAGTGTGGAGCCTGCTTGAGATTCCCTCTCTCACACACTCTCTGCCCTCCCGACATGTGCTTTCTCTCTCTCTTTCTCTCAAAATGGATAAATACCCTTAAAAAAAAGAATCCTGCCCAGCCTTCAAACCCAACTCATCAAGCCCTGCCTCATCCCTGAAGCTTCTCAAGACCCCACAGAAGGAAAGGGCCCGTTCTGTGGTGAAAGGAGTGGGGAGGGACTCGAGAAGGGTCACATGCCGAGTAGAGTAAGAGGGCACACCAGCTCAGAGGTCAGACCAGGACTCACAGAGTGCAAGTCCATACTTGAGACATCTAGATGGCAAGGTGACCCTTAGTTAGTACTAATAATCACCTCCAGATTATACAGAAAGGAAGGTAGAGGAGTGTAGATAGAAGAGCTGAGACAAACAACAAGACTTTGGTGTCCAGTAAACAGATTCATTCAACAGCCATCCACTCAATACCTACTGTGTGCACAGCACCAGACCAGGCATGGAAGCTGCAGGACAGGCAAGTTTCAATTTTAAGAGTCTACAATGTAAGTATAATTTTCACTTGATATTTTAAATAATCATTAATCCAGACTAACTAGGGGTAAAACAATCTTATTTTTTTGTGATAAAAAATAAGCATTTACAACCAAGTAGGTATTTTTCTCAGATACCTAGAATAAATCTAACAATGTACTACCCAGCAGAGATATTTTTGGGATTTCTTTCAGTGATAAAAATATTCATGGTAATGAGTACTCAAAAGTTTTTGTGTGTTTTTTTTTAATTGTATCCATTATGGGAGCACCTGGCTGGCACAGCTGGTGAAGCATGTGACTCTTGATCTCAGGGTCATGAATTCAAGTCCCATGTTTGGGTGCAGAGATTTCTTAAAAATAAAAATCCTATTCATTTTTGAGAGAGCAAGCGCTAGCACACACATGAGTGGGGGAGGGGCAGAGACAGAGAGGAGAGAGGGGAGACAGAGGATCCGAAGCAGGCTCTGCACT